AGGAACCGACTGGGAAGGACAGCAACGAGAGCGTGCAAGAAGCGAAGCGGGTCGAGTTTGGTCGTGCTAAGACTGGCCACAGCGGCACCGGAGCAGCGGCACCGGAGCAGGCGGAGGGCATCGAACCGTGGCGTACGGACAAACTTATCTTGTATTGTCAATTATTTTTCCGTTTTTTTCCTGAACACAGGTGTTGGGTGTGTGTGTGATGACGTCACTGGTTTTGTAGAGAGACGCGTCAGAGATGGCGCGGATAACCCGGGTGCCTTAATTGTATACCTGCATCGTGGAAGACCCCGTCAATGTGGAACGATTCCTAGTCAGTGTCGATGATTACACTGCTGTGCCTAACACAGATGATCTGGATAGATTCGGGTGATTGCCAATTGCAATGAGGGCTTTGGTTGGGCGTTCTTCTTCATTGTATGTCCACGGGCTCATTCTGACAGCACTTCAGACAGCAGCTCCATGCCCCGAGCTTGTGTACCATGCACCATGATATTATTGTACAGACAGCACTTCAGACAGCAGTACGCTGTAGTCGACAGTCATTTTGGTAAAATGCGGGACAAGGGGGGTGATGCTGCTGCTGTAGTCGATTTGTAGTGTGTGGGCGTGTAGTTCAGTTGTGAGCACGCAAACGTGCTGCAGGGATTGCAGGTGTACCTCCTCGGGCTTGCGTACCCTTTCCTTGCTAATAGTGTGTGTGTTCTTTAGATCTTCTGATGGCTCTAGCATTGTTGTGACCACGGACCGAGTCTTTGCTAGATTTTGGGATTAGCAACTGACACGAGTTTAATGTGAAGAAAAACAACAACAACAACAACAACAACAACAACAACAACAACAACAACAACAACAACAACAACAACAACACACGCCGCCTGAACAAAACAAGACCAGAAAAAATCACGATTGCCTCAGAAAAAAAAGTGTGTAATGGTTTGTCCTTTTCACGTGCCACTGTTTGTTATGGCCGGAGAAACAGACCGACCGGCAAATGCGTTGTCAGAGAAGGGGGGTTGGCAGAGCTTCGTGCGAGCCAACAGAGGCGCCATTTTGGCCCATCAAAGACAACGACAGCAGCTCCGCCCTTCCCCACTCCCCCAATTCACCGCATCCCCAACCGGCGTCTCTTCTTCAGACCCAATGGAACTCAGAGTAGGATTGTAAAGATCATCACAGGCAAGGAAAGACGCTTGAGGAAACACAGACGAGCGCAGGCGCATCGCAAACAAATTCTAGTAACTTGTTCTTCCGGAATGCGAGGACAGCAAGAAAAGTAAACACGTACCACCCCAGAGAGCAGCCAACAGAGAAGGTCGCGATGATATCGATCACTGTGATTTTGTCAAATGTCTTTCAGTCTGTGGTGTGTACAAGCAGTCATCCTCCTCCATCCATTATGGAACTTCAAAACGGTAAACCGAGGTCATGTTCAGAACGCGTCATCTCCCTCCGGGGGGGGAGGGAGTGAGACACCTGAATGATTTGATGTGACAGAAATGGCTGAAAAAAGGAAAAAGCGCCTGTCGAAGAAGACTCTTGAAACCTCGAGCATCGGCATATTGCCTTCTCAGGGGGCCAAGGGCAACGTCCACATGGACAAAAAAAAAAAAAAAACTACAAGCAACAACAACAGCAACAGCAACAAGTGCATTTTCATTAGAGCACGCCCTCTGCCCAAAAAAAAAATGCAACCGCGTACCTGAGCAGCGGCGGACATGAGCGGAGAGACTCCATCCTTGTCCCTGACCATGGGGTCCGCCCCCGCCGCCAAAAGAAGGTCGACTACCTCCTGGCTGCCCGACGTCGCGGCTTCCATCAACGCTGTGCCTCCCTATCAACAGGGCGAAAGATAACATATGAGAGAGAAAAAAAACAGGAATCGTTTTCTCATGACGTCAGCATGACGACGTGCTTGTTCGTAATGGGGGGGGGAGGGGGGGGGGGGGG